AGTATTTGCTAAATAAATGGCAGTAAAAACATAAGTGTTAAGTAGTCAAAATAGTCACTATTTTTGCCTGGACTGAGTGACTTTTATTGATGCTTTATGATTTTGCAAGTAGTGTTAAAACAACATGCCTTCTGGAAGAAAAAGAAAATAAATTCCATAACTGAGGTTAGTAATTAACAGATGGGAAAGATACTGTTAGCAATCCCATATTCATAATTCAAAATGACTTGCTCCAGGAGGAGCTGAGGTAGAATTACATATGATCAGATTAACAGAGTTTGCTTTAAAATATCACCACTCCTTGATTATACCTAGCAAATCAAGAAAATCTTTGGATAAGGAAAGGCGGGTAGGGGATTGAGGTAACATACTTAATTATTTCTGCTTGGCACAGACATAATGATCAAAAAATGCTAAGATTGACTCACTTATCAACGTGAAATGTTCACTTTTGAGAGAACATTCACGAGAAACATTGTTTTACACAGAATGTCATGATACATATAATATCCACCTGGTTTTTCTCCATAAATAAGCCAGTCATACTTATGTGCAGTATCACTTTATACTGGTCACTTTTAACCACAGGAAGCAGCATGTGGCTGGGCATGCTGAGAAGGTTCAGACAGAGCTGGGTTTCAGTGCAGTGCTGCCAGGTCCTATACCTGAACCCTTGGACAAGTTATTTAACCTTACTCAGCCTCAATTCCTTGAACTATTCAGAAATAGTATTACCTACTTTGAAGGATTTTGCAAGAATTAAATTGGAAAATGCATGTGAAGTATGTGGCATAGTATCTGATACATAATAAGCAATTAATAAATGTTAGAAATTAGGATGGTAAGCCAAACCTTAAAAAATGTTTCAGTTAGAAAGTAAGTTTCTTTTAAAGAAATGTTATTTTGTGTCTTAGCTTATAGTTGTGGTAACCATTCAAAATAAATTAGTAACATATATTTACACTAAGTGTTAATAGGAACTGCTTTTTAATACTTCTTATAACATCCTATACATTCTTTATTATCTATAGGATTGCTTGATTAGTCTCTCTGCTCCTCTAGTCAGTTAAGTGCCATGGAAGCAGAAATGTCTCACACTCACAATTGATCCCCAGTGCCCAGTTCTAAGCAGCTGAATAAATACTGACTGCCTACATGAAGTCTAGCATATCAAATTGCATGCTCATTTCCACTCTGTAAAATAGCTTTCTATCCCCAATTTATAGGAGGAGATCTTAAGGTGGAAAGGTTAAGTGACTTAATAAAGATTACAGAAGAAAAAAGTATCAGGATTGGAATCTAAGCCTTGGTCTTCTTCCAACACACCGTATTGCACACAAAGTGAAAGAAGTAGCAATGCCATGGCATGAAAAAAAAAATTTCTGCTTTTAAGGACCATTATTCACAAAGTTACACCAGAAATTGTTTTTATACCATCAACATACATGCTAAAAAATAATTATGATCACATAGAGTATTTTTTCCCTTGCTGTGTAGATTTTACTGTGACAAGAATGTCTTTCAGAGAGGAAGGAAATCTAAGTATTAACTGAGATCTTCATACTTCTTTATTCTATCAATAAATAGCAATTACCCTTAAATTTCCAAATATGGAACACCTACCTGTACAGCAATATAAAAAATTAACTAAGAATGCTCATTCTTAGGCAACTCCTTATTCAGTACCTACCATATATTGTACATAATGTTCACACTGCGAATATAGAATACAACAATGAGCCTCTTCTCACAGACAGTCTACATGAATCCTAGTAAACCTACTTTGTTTCTACTGTTCCCGCATATATTTTTTCAGTTTCTACACAGAGAACCTAACTGTTCTTCAGTATTTCCAGACCAAGATGGAAGCTATTTTAGTCATAAGTTCATTAAAACTGAATTAGATTAAAGCAAAGCAATTTGGAAGTTCAATGAAATTAAAGTAGTTACAAGTAAAATATTCTGTTACCCCACATCAGTGAAGGAAATGATTATTTTTGCCCATTCTTACCCCTTGGCACAAATAGCTAATGTCATGCTGTCACACATATTTTGGGAGTATGGACATTCACCAAAATGGTATTCATCCCATAATATGGAAGCAAAGAATATGAGTTCTGAACCTTACTCAGACATTATTAGCATTGATCAAGGTTTGGACATCAGGTGGCCACCTACATTTAGGACTTGGACTGAATGCAAATAGTAGATGCTGGTTAAAGAAGTAAGTTTTTCTTAGTCATGGTTCAGAATCTGGCTGTTAACATACAGCAAGTTAGTGAGTCATCCAACAGAATCAGACTGAAGACTGTTAGGTACTCTTCCAAACTTTACATAAACAAAGATAGAAAATCAATGGCAATAGACATTTATATATGAAATTATAAATAAGGTGGAAGCAAAATGAAAAAGGATCATCCCATAAATGTTATCAACAGACCCACAATTTGTGTTTAAGATACATAATACTCAAGAATACTCTGAATCTTTACAGGAACTATACAGACAGCATGAAATAACAATTATATTGAGAAATATAATTTATGCTTCCTTTTTCCTAATCTTTGTTTTTATCAAGGAGAAAGTCCCAGTTTGGTAGTAATATGTCTTTAACAACCCACAAACATCTTCTCACTTCCCCTTAATAGAAAGTGGGCTTGATTTGCTGACTTTTGTGAACCGACAGTATCCAGCTCAAATAATATTGTTTACACTGGTGGTTTACAAACGCTTTAAGTCTTGGGGTTCCTTTAAATTCTTAAAAATTATTCAGGATCTGAAAGAGTTTATATTTATGTATATTTATAGTTAAGATTATTAATTAAACCTGAGAAAACTTTAAAATTTTTATCAATTTAAAATAATAAATCCATTGCATGTTAAATATTTAATGAAAAATACATTGTCAAAAAGAAGACAAAAGAAAGTGAAGAACTGGCATTGATTTAGATTTTTCTAAATCCTTTTAATATCTGGCTTAAACAGAACAAGATAGAATATAGAGACAGAAAACAGCTAGATTTTCCTATTTGCTTCTGTGTTCAGTCATTTGCAATTCTGTTGTTTGATTGGATGATAGAACAAGAAATCCATGTTCATGTAGATAGGAACTTGGAAAAAGAAGGAGCATTTTAGTAGCTTTTTCAAATACTAGTGTTTACTCTTTCTTGATTCTATACCAAAACTCAACAATAGTTATTTTCCTAACAGTTAGATGCAATAAGGAATTTGAAACTGTATCAATGAACTTCTTGTAACCAATATACTTGTAAGAGAATGTATTATTTTGAAAATAATTTTGATCTAGCAGATTCCCTGAAGGGGTCTCAAAGAACCCTCCCACTCCTCAGGGTTCCTTAGACCATATGCCTAGAATAACTGGCTTACATTCTACTTTTCAGGTTTTTAAAGCCAAGGGACGTTGGTTTTCCCTTCATAAATTAACAGATTTGTTTAAAAGGAAACTTTTTTGGTAAATAAATACATTTAAAGAAATACATGAAAAAAAAAACGGTAGGGAGTTATAGGAAAAATGTGTGAAAGTTTGGAAAACAATAAACTAATGCATTCCTGCAAATGTATCCTCTACTCTATATAACACAGGAGCAAACTACCTAAACAGTGCTCCCTCAGATCTTTTCTTGGCTGGCTCTTCTAATGGTGAGCTCTTGACTCTTTATGTCAGCTCTTAAGAGAAATGGTCCCAACGAGCCCTCTTAAAAGGGCTTATTACAGATATTTCCAAAACAGTCTTATAATATGACTGGAATATTTTAATATGCTCAATGCAATAAAACAGTTTTACTTCAGTAGCAAAAGAATGTATCAAATGGAGACTACTGATAACAATAACAAGTATCACTAATTGAATCCTTTTTTACTTGATAAGACATTAAGTAAGAGTAGCAGAAAAATAAATGATAATCATTTACTTTTATTTGTAACCAGGCACTTACAATATAATGACCTGGTTTATTTAGTCAAAAGGTTGAACACTGGTCAGGACGTAGACATCCTGGGGAAAGACCACAAAGAAAGCAAAAAGTGGATTGTATAATCATAGATTATCACTAGATCCAATAAGAAACTAGATATTATTACTTTACCCATCTGAGTCAGTTTCCTCATATGTAAAGTGAAAGGTGTTACTTTAATGATCAGATCTGCTCCAAATCTGAAATTTAAATAACTCCATAATTTAGCATTCTGTAGTAAGAACTGGCTCAAAAAACTTCACTTTGTAAATATAAACTTTTGCACAACTTAGAATTATTATTTATAGATGAATTCATTTTACAAAGTTTTTTTGTGTGAAATACCAAATTTATCCATTTACTAATTCAAATTTTTATAAATTTAAAGTCACATATAATTAGAGTTTTATTAAGATATTAAGCATTTGCTTCAATATTAAACCTGGATCATATAATAAGGCCAATAATAAGAAACTGCTGGTAAGGAGATATTTTCTTCTTTTTCAACTTTATAAAGTAAAATGCATGTAATAAGTTTCTTATGCGCTATTAATCCATTCAAATACCGATTCCTGGTAAGTGGCAATATTGAACAACGAACTCTAGGACTTACAAATGCTACTAAATAAGAACCCTGACTTTAAGAAGTTTGCATTCTGATAGGCAAAAATGACAAAGTACACAACAATATATAGAGTAGAAAAGAGAAGCATTACAAGATAGTGTGGTCGAATACAAGATTACTTCCTCTTCAGGAAAAGTACCATTTGAGGCAAAGAGATTTGGAGGTGGGATGCTAATTTGTAATTTATACATGAAAGGGAGCAGCTACTTGGTGGTTTAAATTCTCCCAAAGGTACCACAGGTTTTTAAGACGGTCATCTTCACAGTCTCATTCAGGTAGGCATCCCTGTTACTGGGGACGGGGAAGAGGTAACCCTGGGTCACAGCAATCTTCCTAGCTTGGTCACCATCCTGCCCTTGTCAAGCCTGTTTGGGGGCAGGCTCAAGGAGGCTTTGCCTCACCTGACCGTCCTGACGACGAAATACACCAGCACCGCGCCGCTCACCACCATCAACACTGTCAGGGCCCGCTGGGTCATGGGCTTGTCGCCGGGGTTGGGGCTCACAGCGAGGCCGCCACCCACAGAGCCTTCTTCCCCTGCCTTCCCTCCTAGGTCGTCCGCCGCAAGCCCTGTCCCGGGGCTGCTGCCATTGCCGCCCTCAAAGCCCCGTGGCCCCGCGGCCTCAGCCGGAGCGCGGCCCTGGGACCGGGCAGCGGTGGGACCCGGCGGCAGGGGCGGCAGGGTCCGCGGCCCATGGTACGGAGGACCGCGGTCCGGCGCAGCCTCGGCCGCGGGCAGCAGCACGGCCAAGGGCCCTCTCAGCAGCAGCGGCAGGAGGGCTAAGGCCAGCAGGCGGCTGAGACAGCCGCTGCCATGCGAGACCTTCATCGTTCCCGGACCGCCCTCTCACTACGCGGGAGCCGCCGGGCCCGCAGCCCTGGCTCCAAAAGGCACCATGGGCGCAGAGGAGAACCCGGAAAAGGAGACCAAACACAGGGCTAAGACCCGGCCGCAGCAGGTGTAAGAGGCGGCAGCGGCGGCCCCTGCCTTGAGAAACGGAAGTTCGTACATCTCAGCAGCCGCTGCAACTATGGACGCTATCGGTTGCCAGCACGTAGGATCAGGCGCGTTCAGTGACGTGAGGCACACACTGCCTTCTGCGCATGCGCCCTTCCACAAGTGGGTCACTAGTAAGGAAGTGAACAGGAAAGGATCGTGTGAAGTGTGCAGCAACTCTTTACATGACGAAGCCATGACGGATTAGAAGTCCGTAGTTTGAATTATTTGGTGCAGAATTTACGAAACACAGCTAATCATTGATAAGACGAGCTTGGCGTTTCCCTCAGCTCAGGTACAAAATTCAGACAAATTTCTTCCTGACTTTAGGTCCCTGACCTGTATTTCCTTGGAGCATTTACCTTAGAAAACTTGTAATTGTAAATGCATTCTCTGCCCTTTTGAGCTATAAATCTTTCTAAAAGCTCCAGTTTTACAAACCAGGACTGTCTTTCTTAAGGACTGGGAGCTATCCTTTTGAAATACAGTCAAAAAATAAGATAGCACTCCTATATCCCAGTCTCAGGAACAGTGGGAGCCTAACTTAGGCAGGCTTCCTCTTCCAAGTTGAAAAACTACGTCCCGTCACGAAGCTATGAGAAAAAGTTAACTCTGCCTTTGGTTAAGTCCAATTGGTAAACAGAGGTGATATGTGGTGCAGTGTCAATCTCTCTAGCAGTGTCTTTGTTTCTGAGAAGTTGAGCTCAGAGTTCTGGCCTCTCTCATCTACTGAAATAATCTTGATAAAGTATTCCTTACCTTTTTAACTTTGACATCAGTAAAATGAAATTGATTTGAGCCGATATTAACATACACCTGGCCAGAAGCCTAAGTTAATATTTGTCTTTTAAAAAAAGTATTCATTCAACACATTACTTAGAGTTTCTACCTCTGTTTTAGCATTGTGCTGAATATTGCATACTGTAGACAAATAAGGATTAGGTAGTAGATAAGATGTGATCTTCCCTCCTATACCATTTAGGTTCAAATGAAGATAAAACAATAATTGCACTAATTCTGAATTCTGAAGTGTGTGTTAAAATAACAAGTACAAGGTCAACAGTAAGAAATTTGTAACAAACTAATGTATGTAAGGTGTACAGATTAATGTCTTTTAGCTGCTTGAAAGTAACAGAGTAATGCAGTTGCTCCTGCCTGGTAGAACTTAAGGCACTAGGCATCTTAATGCTGGGCTTCAGTGTGAAGGAAACCATGGGTGATACACCTTTATTTATCTTCCAAACTGGCAATTAACAGTAATAAAGGGGCTCTTTGGATTTCCTTTCTCCCTTATATACAACCTTATTCAGGGCTATAGTGGAGGAGGGTTGATATTTAATGTCACTCCCTCCACCCCTTGAAGAACCATACAACACATCAATGAAAAGTGCATCATCTTTCCTTCCTTACAATATGTCATTTTACCATTGTGTTCCTCATCTTGTTTAAAGGCATTATTCTCCTAGGTGCTCACACATAAAATCTTGAAGTTACCCTTTACGCTTGGTTTCCCAGTGTGCAGCAGTCCTTTCCAGTAACGAACATACAAAGTACTAAGTAATTCTGAAATAGCAGTCAAACTAATGGCTCCAAACGAGAGCATACTATGTTCTAATGTTTCTCCATATATGTTTGTCAGCCACCTGAATCAGAATCAGAAGTAGAATTTGTTAAAAATGCAGGTCCTAAATCACAATTACAGAAATTCGGAGACAGAATTTTGGGGAGTGGGGATATGGAGTAGGTATTTTTATTAAACTGTCAGAATGATTTTCATTTACACTGAAGTTTAAGAATCTTTTCCTCACCACATGCATTCAGATGTCACATCTTCTTCACCTCTCTTACATATTTTTTATTAATCAACTATTTTCTGTTCCCTGCTGCTGACAAGGGACCATTTTTGTATTCCTAGAGCTGTACACTAGTCTTCTTTATTCCCAACTTCATCTACTTCCAATTAAACTCTATGTATTACTGCCAGGGGTATGCTTTCAAGTTCAGATCTATCTTAATATAACAAATAAACACCACACAAATAGATCTTTTCTCCCAGAGATTCTCAGTCCACCACAACAATAAAAAACAACACCTGCAAATTATTGTGTTCTTTGCAGAATGCCATATTATTTGTAAAGCATCATGAAACTGTTTTCAATTCCATCACAGGAACTAGGAGCAAGTTACTTGGGATAAAATACTTTATTCTGCTTGTATAATATGGAATGACAATTTTGGGCACACATATCTATTTAAATGACAAGTTGTCAAGCTAAGTATAATTGACATTTCTGAGTTTTTCTTTTAATAATACTACTTATTCATATACTTGTTTTCAGTTGGCTTGCAAACAAATTGTGCCAAGCACTAGAGATTTAGAATCATATAAAGGAGAAAAATTCTTAGAACAATAATTATATTAGTTTTCTTAATCTGCAGACTGGCAAAAACCCCACTATTGTCCTAAATAATCAGGGAACATGGCAGCTGAAAGAGCAACAGTCTTTCATGAAAATATAGTTAAAAATCTGCTGAGTTAAATCTAAAACCCTCAGTCTGTGTGGAATAATAATTTTGAATACTAATTCAGCCTCTTATGTACCAAATATCATGTTACCAAATGTTACATAATTGTATTTGTTTAACCCACATACATACACGTACAAAAAACCATTATTCCTATTATACAATTAAGGAAACTGAGTACAGAGTAATCAATTTGGCAAAAATCCACATGAATAAAAACAATGGAACTGGGCGGTGAATGTAGGCCACCAGCAGCAGAGGTGGGCTATGCTCTGCTGCATTTTATCTTTTCCTAATTAAGGGTTTCCATAATTTGAGTCTACCTTATTGTCTCAGTCATCTATTGCTAAAATAATGCTGCATATCCAGTAACCAAAAAGAAAGCACTGGCATGCAACAAATAAGCATTTATAATCTCACATGTCTTTGGTAAAGCTCAGATTGACTGACTTTAGTTGACCTTGTATAGGCTTAGTTCCAGGCCACAAGTTTAGTTCAGTTTTACTCCATGCACATCTCATTCTTCTGGGATCGGACAGTTATTTTGAGTCATGTTTTTCTAAAGTCTTAAGATCAGAACTTCCTGAGCCAAAATGGGTAAGTGGGAGGGAAATAGGGAATAGGCATAATGAGAAATGAGGAGCCATGTATGTCATTTTCTAAAAAAAAACCCATGAGAACAATTGGTTACCCAAAAGCCTTACCTGATGCCCTTGACATGCATCTTATTGGAGAGAGATGTCTTACCAGCTTGCAGGAATCTGGGAATTTTAATATCTAGATGGACATATTCTAGTCTCCAACCAAATTGTGTTTATTAGCAAGAGGAAAACTTATGTTGATAGATATTTTATTTTTAGTTCAGAATAGAGAACAAAAGCCAATAAGCATTCCTTGGTGTCAAAATTCCCTTGGTTGTCCATTAAAGATGAGGGAAAGTAGGAGGTTGGCTCAATACAACGGTCATTCTTAGTCACATCTAACAGAAGTAATCTCTTATAGTTTAAGTGACAGGAAACTTCCACATCAGGGGACTATCTATCTTTAGTGTGAAAAGAAATAGAGTTCAATAGTACATAAAAGAGAATATGAACTTACAGCAAAACCAGGAGGGCAAGAGAATGTACTTAATAACTAGAATATGAAGGCAGAATTAGAATGTCTAGAGAGACAACAAAAGAGCAACAGGTGGAGAATAAGGAGAGAACAGTGCTGCTGGGGTAGGTGCTGCATAACAAGTAGGACCAAAAATAAATGTTAGCATTAAAGATCTAAAAGAAAATGACCATCAAATGAGCTGTGGTTCCTGAGATGAAAGAAACAAAGTGAACCCACAGTTGCCCCAAATCTCTCCCTGGGTAAAATTTCCCAACTGCAGTACAGTGACCTGGAGTTCAGTGAAAATATAGAAGTCTTTAAAGTAGCAGAGATAAGAGTTCTGGGCTTTTGAACCAGTTGGAATCTGAGGCAAGTCATTAAGAGAAGGAGTCTGTAAGAGTCATGAAGTTCACTACAAGTCCTTGTCTGGAATCGACAGTGCAACTCTATGCATAGGCACTCAAGGTTTATAAGTGAGTGGCTGTTACAGAGGTGAGAAAGCAGGACAGAGATATTAGACATTAAGTAGTACTGGGACTTCAGAATTTTGACTTTATCAACACCTCCTAACAACATGGGAATCATGTGGAATCACTGCTTTGTGATAAAACCTATACCCAGAGAAAGTCCCACTATAACAAAACTTAAAAACAAACCCTAACAAGATTCTTGAGAAGACAGAGTTTGAAGGTTAAATCTTGCCAATTTAGAAGAGCTTGGGAAATAAAAACAATTTACTATAAAGTCTCAAGAACAGGGATATAAAAAGTTTCAAGAAAAATGAACAGAACCCCATAAATTTATGGGGCAATAATACACAGTTTGATATATATGTATTGGAGTGCAAAAGAAAAAGCAGAGTATAGTGAGGCAATAAAATATTTTTGAAAAATGATAGCTTAACAACTCTGACTTACAATTCCAAGAAGATCAGAGAGCAGTAAGCAAGATAAATACAGAGAAAACTACATTTAGGCATATCATAGTCAGAAAGAAAGTCACAAACGGTGGAGTCCAAAATAAAAAATCTAGAATGGAGCCATAGAAAAAGATACATTGCCTACAGAAGAACAATAATACAAATGAAGGCATACTTCTCATCTGAAAGTATGGAGACCAGAAGACAATACAGTGGCATTTTTAAGGTGCCAAATGAAAAAAAAGCTATCATTCTTGAATTCTATATCTAGTAAAATTATCTTCCAAAAATGAGGCAAAGGCAAATGAAAGCTGAGGAACCTCATTTCAAGCAGACTGCACTACAAAAAATACAGGATGTTTTTCAGGCTGAATGGAAATGGTATAAGATGGAATTTTTATTTCTAGGAAGGAGAGAATAGCTCGTAGAAATGGAAATTTGGTGTGTTAATACAAAAACTTTCTTCTAATTTTCTCAAAA